AGTATATTGGCATGTTATATCAGCAATCAGTCGCCCTGTGCTTTATTGGCATTAGCCTTTGAAAATCTGAAAAAGTCTGTTGAACATTATTGAACAGTAAAGTATAAAATTCAAACATATTTTACATTTTGAAAACGTTGGGATCTTCACTGTGATCTCTAAAAATGGTATGTGACTCTGAGCCTTCATTAGTAATGTCTACTATATGGAGATCTGCTCCTCAACCACAATTATAGCTTATGACGGGGTTGATTCGTCCACTACAATCTAAATGAGTCTCCTCCACAATAACTTCTCTCTAAGTTGAAGCCACACCAACAACAGAACAGTCTTAAAGCAGAGGAGGAGCGAGGTGGGACTTAAAGCTCCAGAGAAGGTTTTCAGTCACAATGCAAAGGCTGTTTGAGAGCACATATTTCCTGTTGAAACAGGATATTGTGGCAGCGCATAACAGGCGTCTGAGTCACTCTGAAGGTGACCTGTAATGGTCTATATACGTCACCCAAAGCATGCTATGAAAATGAAAGCGTGTGGGAATCTTGAATGCAGTTTAGATCGACCCTCATGTATTACAACCCCCCCCCCAGCCCCCCGGACACAAAAAGCTTCTCCTCAATGTGACTTGTTCTACTGCAGGCCATATGCAAAAAGCAGATGACCTAAAAATAATTAACTAGTCGTGGTCAAAAATGTAGGAGTGATCTTCCTCTATAATCCAAGGATGGTGTTGTTACTACAGAGATTATATATTAATACAAAGTTGTTCAAATCTACACATGAAGATATGAGGCCTGTCTCTCTTTGCCCTGCTCTGTGTGTGTGTGTGTGTGTGTGTGTGTGTGTGTGTGTGTGTGTGTGTGTGTGTGTGTGTGTGTGTGTGTGTGTGTGTGTGTGTGTGTGTGTGTGTGTGTGTGTGTGTGTGTGTGTGTGTGTGTGTGTGTCGTGTGTAGTGTGTGTGTGTCGTGTGTCGTCGTGTGTGTGTGTGTGTGTGTGTGTGTGTGTGTGTGTGTGTGAGTGTGTGTGTAGTGTAGTCGTCGTGTGTGTAGAGTAGTAGTAGAGTAGTAGTAGTGTGTGTGTGTGTGTGTGTGTGTGTGTGTGTGTGTGTGTGTGTGTGTGTGTGTGTGTGTGTGTGTGTGTTTATATTAGTCTCTCCTCAGGGCTCAGCAGCATCATCACTTCCTGTGGATTAATCACTACTCTTCCAAAGAAGTCACATGACCTCAAAGTCATCATCACGTGACACACTCACTTTTCCTCCTCCCCCTGCCCTCACTGTTCCTCCACTGTGGAAACCATGGCAACAACCGGCTGGAACCGGTTTGTGACACAAGGCTTCATTTTGTGTGAGGGGAGTTTTTTAGGGTTCAGGTGGTGAGTGGGGGGAAAATGGAGGTAGACTGNGAGGGGACAGAGGACAGAGCCCTGAGGGACCCCTGTAGGTAATTGACAAGAGTTGGACTCGGGCCCTCTCCAAGTTACCCTGTAGGTGCGGTCTTTGAGGTATGAGGTGAGGAGGGAAAGTGCAGAGCCTGAAACTCAAAGTTCTTGGAGAGTGCGAAGGAGGATCTGATGGTTCGCCGTCTCGAATGCAGCAGACAGGTCCAGAAGGATGATGACAGAGGAGAGGGAGGCTGCTTTAGCAGTGTGCAGTTCCTCAGAGACAGCAAGGAGAGCAGTTTCTGTGGAGTGACCTGCCTTGAAACCAGACTCGTGCGGATCATGAAGGTTGTTCTGATGGAGATAACAGGAGAGTTGTTTAAAGACAGCAAGTTCAAGTGTTTTAGACAGGAAAGGGAGGAGGGAGACAGGCCTGTAGTTTATAACATTGGACGGGTTGAGAGTGGGTTTCTTTAGGAGAGGGTTTACTATTGCCTCCTTGAGACTGTTTGGAAAGTGACCAGAAGTTAGAGAAGTGTTGATGAGATGGGTGAGAAACGGTAGAATATCAGGAGTGATAGTCTGAAGGAGGTTTGAGGTCAGAGGACAGGTGGTAGGACGGTAGGGGAAAAGGAGTCCTTTGAAACTTTACTTTTTTATCTGCCGAGCACATTATTAGAGTCTACCAGTCTCTGTTTCTAATGAGAACTCTCCCTACCTTTCAACTCTACTAACTATAATGAGTAGCCGCGTTATGACTGAACTTCAAGGCGTAGATGGATCTAATGTCCAAAATGTTTATTCATCCAGGACGTTTAAAGCCTTAAAGAAGACACATACGCAAAGAGTTTCCTCATGTGAGTGGAAGTTGCTTCAATAGGTGGCAATATGTCAGGAAATTAGAAACGCAATTTTCAGACAGACATAAGAACAAGGAAATGATGGCTCTGACTCCAGAGGGCATCCTGTAGTATTTATGGTGAACATTACATTTTTAAAAGAATTGGTTTTAACACAAACCCGGTTTAAACAGAGAGAAAGAAAGAGAAAGGAGGTTGAAAACATTAAAGCCGGACTTTATGAGCATAGAAAAAAAGATCTCACCAAGTCTGCTGTCTAGCTTCGTTTGTTGAGCAACACTCGGCCTGCCCTGGAGCATGTCACCTGTTGAAAGGGAGATGAAAGCTTGAATTAGGAAAACATAACATTTGAGCTCATTTACATGAACTGTATTCTGTTTAACTGGCAACACTTTTTTTTTTTACTCTGTTTTCGTGGAATGTATGTCAGAAAACCTGACTTCCTTCAAACTGTTTGCACATGTTACTCACTGGGACCGTATTGATCTCAGTCCCATGTTCCCTGCTAAAAGGTTGATTGCATAGAAAGTAGATGCATGTGTGCTTTATTTATTGCAATGAGGACACACAGTCAGGTTCATAATGATGATTGTAAATATTTGTTTACACCTCATGGCTCTGGGATTTATGAAGCAGTATATCAATGTTATTGGGTCTTGTCAAATCCTGTGTAAGTGCATTGATTGAAATTGTCAACACGTTTGATACATTATTAAGGAAAAAGCTAACAGAATAACTTATGGCTGATTTACATTTTCTATACAGTATGCAAGCATAGTCATTTTGAGTGATGGAATACAATACAAACATTAAAGCATGGAGACATGTCACAGTAGAGGCAGTAAATACAAATATGAACCTGACATTGAACATAATAAGGGCCTCTTTAAAACAAAGTTTTTTCCACCATGCGGTCGCCTCTTATCACTCACACATACATTTTTTTTAAAAAGGGTTGGTAACTCAGGGTTCTTTGGCTCATGAGCATCACTGCCAGTGTAAAAGACTTATACGATGCGGATGTTGACTTCACTTTGTTTTCAGCTACAACCAATATTAAGACGGCTCTTTTAAAGTGAGCTCATCACAAACAGAGTGTAGAGGGATGGTCACAGGTTGCAGCATTATTAGTGCAGCCTCCTATTTGAACACTAACTTGGAGTGTATGTTCACATCCACTCATTTGTTTACTCCTCCTGTAATGATCAGCGCTGCACAGAGGCACTGAAAACACCGATTCCCCCGAGGAAAGTGTTTGATCTCCTCTCTGTTCAGTGGCAATAAAAGGAGGGAGGGGGGGTGTTGAATTTCAGAAAAGCACAATGAGAGCCTTTTAAGTATGACACAGCTGCAAACACTACATGTGTGAATGCTCGAGAGGCCTGCACCCCAATCACATGGTTTCCTTTCCCTCATTGTGCTGGTGTTTTCAGGCTGTATGCATGTATTTTTCATGAGAGGTCATTTCGTTTTTATGTCAATTGCCAGACTGCAACAGCCTTGTATAATTACCAATAATGACAGTGTTAGGATGCAGTCGCTAGGCAACATCTAAAGAGTGAAGACATAAGGATGAAGGAGATTGTGTAGCGCTATAGAAAGGTTTATTCCAGGGTTTTATGCGCTGCATTATCATGGGAGTGTTTGGTCAAATCGTGTTTATGAACTTCTCAAAATCTCCGTCATCTCTCTCATGAATACTGAGGGTGGTACGGGCGTAGGCACATGCACAAGCACTCACAATGAATGGATTTAATAGTAAGGATATGTATTTGGTTTGATTTGGTTCAAGGACATGTAGGTTATTGAATATTTAATGTATTCAGTTTGAGTTAGTGTTGATTATTTAAGCACACATCTGTGGTGGTAATAATTCAAAAATAAAATAAATATAGATGATTAAGGGATTGTGCACAAATGATAAGTGTAGTAAGAGGGACTTTGCTTTATATTTTACCTTTATTATACATTTGTACAACTCTTCCCTAGATTTGAGTCTTAAAATAATGTTTAGATGTGAAACACAACAATCTTTTCGATTCAATGTTCCCTTTCCATAGATGTTAAGTAAAAAATGTATACATATCCTTATTTGTAACATACGCCTTAATTTTCTTAAGTAATACAAATATTTTTTACTTGAAAATGACAAATGTGGCACTGGTCTATTTTAATTATTTTATTAGGAAGAATATATTATAAAAAGTTTTCCCTCTAATGTCTGGAAGAGCTTAGTAATAAATTGTCAAATCATATTTAAAAAATAAATGTTGTGTGTTGAGATTGTTTCTTCTTTCTTTCTGTCGTTATCAGGATCCCCATTGGCACTACAAAGAGCGTTGGCTAAATATATTAAATATGATATAGCCTCATATAAATTGTAGTTCCTTAATCGAATAAACCCAGCATCGGATCGAAGCAGAATGTGATATTGTCATATATTTTATCGTGCTAAATATTGGAAAAATATCATAATGATTAAACTTGTAATTTGTACCTAACCACAGTACAACTCCTTTAAATACATAAACAAAAAGGTAGACAAAATTATGTATGACACCTAATGAAACATGAGGTACCACAACGTGAAGATTGAATATATTTATAGTTGAACGCCAGCTCTGTGTTGTGTCTCGGCAGATCTGTTAATATTATTTCTCTGTTTAGTTTTAGTCCATGTCTGCTACCCTTTTTGTTGTCTGCCATTTCCTGTTTTACTTTGCCATTTCCTTTCTCATTTTCAGTTAGTTTGTCTCCTGCCTTGTCACTTTGCTCACGGACCTGATTATCTGCCCCGCCCTTATTGTTTGCACCTGTAGAGTTCTTTGTTTGTGTATATATTCTGTGTGTTCCCTGTGCTCAGTGCCAGATCATTTTTTGAACCTTGAGGATGGATTACCTTGTTTATCACCGCAGTAAAAACCTTTTTTGAAATCATCTTTTGTCTGGAGTCGTGCATTTGGGTCCTATCAAGTTTTTGTCTGCTCCAGTCATAACACTCTGTGGCTGTGGGCAGGCTTAAGCATTGTCATATCTCTGTTCCACCAAGGGCCCAAATAACAAAACTAAATATAAATTACACCTGGTGTCCTGCCTAATATGATATAATATATGGTTGTTGACAATTCATCACAGGTAATACAATTAAAAGATTCTGAGTCGCATAACCAGGCATGTAACCAGGTGCGTTTAGGATCAGCAAATAAGCCCCTCAGACAGGTGTGCCAAACAGCGTGCGGCAAATATTAGAATCTGAGCTAATTACTGTCGGAAAATGTCTAGTGACATGCGGGAGAGGAGCCCAGTGATAAATGCAAATTACGCTTCAATGTCTTGTTGTTCGGCTGAAGGACAGGCGGAAATGTGTGTGTGTTTAGGAAAAAAGAAAACCAAAAAGACGTGTGAAGCAGACAAAGTCAACCTTTTCCATTACAATGATTTGTAGGCTAGGTGGCAGCACGTGATGTCACATGGTAGCTCATGAACGTGACTAATAATTCTTCTCATTTAGATTTCAGTTTAAACGCTGTTTGATTTATGTTTCCTCATATAAGAAGACACACAATATGATTTATGTCCCTTTTATAAAAAAGACCAATAATATGGTACATTTGAAAGCCACATGCTGTTGGATATAAAAATGTCAGTATCAGTTTGATATGGGGCAGTGACCATCAATCACAGAACTCAAAAATATAAGATATCTATATGAGAAGACAAAAAAAGGAATATTAAGGAAATCAAATATCAATTGGTCGAACATTTTATTTCACTTCTGCATTTACCTGTTAAGCTATGACATTTGCTGTTATCATTTTAAGCTGTTTTCAAGCTTTTATCAGTGAACACTGTATGACATAATCTCCCTTTCCCTCTTCTGTCTTTTCTACAGGACCCCTCTGTTTTAACTGATATGGCTGCTGCAATGTGGAAGCTTAAATCACTGCACATGGGCTTGTGGATCTTCTTCCTGCTCGTCAACCTCCTTCCTGCAGCCAGGTACGACAACAGCCTATTGTAGTTGCAAGTTGCAACACAGTCTCACTCCCTGATAGTCCAATAGCGACGCTTGGTCAGGGTCCTGTGGCGTGCAGTTGGGACGCGCCGAGTCTCCTTCAGCTTCATAAACGGACGCAAAGAGCTTTCAACTGATAGCAATGTAATCCCAACAGCGGCAGTATTCGACGCTTAGGGAAGCACCGCATCGGTCCATGTCGGCGCCAGTTAAAGGCAATGTGAGCGTCCATTCCCATTGGATAACGGAGAATTTTACACCCGGAAGTAAGTATTCTCCTTACTGTCGATTGATTTTACAGTGATATCTGCACTACTCATCAACTCAAAAATAGTTTCCAGTCTATTCTGAGGCCCGATCTCTGTAGATAAATAAAGAACTAAGCCAGATGTGTAATATTTAATGCAGCCGAACCATTTATTACAATGCATATGTGATATACTTTCATAGAGTAAAGCAAGCACTGCTGAATAAAGTATGATTTTATCTTTTACGAAACGTTTTTTTCATATGGAATACAATCGGAGGTCAACCAATCACGGAGCTTGAGGACTAATCATGGGGTTTGTCGAGCAAAGCGCATGGTGTAGTCTCAAACGATAGCTGAGGATTATGGGTAGTGTAGTGTCTTCGGCCATCCTAAACTCTGATACAACTATTGTACGCATTGTACACAATTTAAACCAATCAATGTTGTGTAATTAGCAAGGATAATCTGGTGTTTTTCAGTTGATGAGTAGTGCAGATATCACTGTAAAATCAATCGACAGTAAGGAGAATACTTACTTCTGGGTGTAAAATTCTCCGTAATCCAATGGGAATGGACGCTCTTTGCGTCCATTTATGAAGCTGAAGGGGACTCGGTGCGTCACTCACAACTGCACGCCAAAGGACCCTGACCAAGCGTCGCTATTGGACTATCAGGGAGTGAGACTGTGTTGTGTAGGTCACCTCTCAATCCCCCCCCCCTGACTCTGTCCCTCCAGCTGATTTTCTTGTGATGTGCTTTGTATAATACTTTTAATAATCAGTCTCACTGCTGCAGCAGACACAGTCTAACAAACGCCTTCAGAAGTTAAATCTATACTGTAAGCACAAAATCAAGAGAAGTTTTTTTCCGTTTTTACACAGAGAGATAGCCTTATCTTTGACTTTGGCATATTTAATCATCCAAACCTCTTTATTGATCACAATTGGCTGTGAAAATGTTTTGTATTGAATTATCCATGCAAAAGGTTTATCCATTATTTACTGAATTCTCAGGATTTGAGACTTCCTGGACCACACTGTGACTTTCACCGTTTTGGACAAGGTTTAAAAATAGATCTCATCCGACCTTGTCATGATTAGGCCCAAAAAGAGCAAACACAGAGTGAGCACATGCTCTCATGGAAATGTTACTCTGCACCGGTCTGAATTTCACTGACTGCTAAATTAATGTGCATTGTGCAGCACACCACAGCCCTGATGGTCCATTCACAGCATTCCACCCCCCCCCCCTGCATCCTGTGCACATTTCTTAGTTTGTGTGCTAGTCATCAAATAAAGATATACAGGACAAATCTCTGGAATGTATAGAAGTAATTCTAACCACACTGCTTGTAATTTCCAACGAAGAGATTACATAGGTTGACATGTTGGCATTGATAAGGTGTTATGTTATGGTGGGTAGTGTAAATCACTTAACGATTTTGCACGCTGTGAAAGGCGAACCTGGAAGAAGCAGGCAGGGAGAGAAATCAGAAGAGTGTGACAGGGATTAGCCCAGATGTCTTTGTCGTTGTGCCACTTGGCTCTCCTAGCTTGTTAGGCACACATACTGTAGAGTTCAAATGACAATACATTAAATAGAAATGTGTGGTCGGAACACCATTGGTCCGGTACTGTTTTTCATGGTATGGGCTGGACACCTTGGTAGCATTGAAGTCCTAATGATACAGTGATAAGCTAGCCACATAGCTCGCTATCAACTGTGTTCCAACAGTTTGTGGGAAACCCTTTCTGTTACAACTGAGGGTGTAGGAAAATCATTCCTAGCATTTAGTGCCATTTCAGCTAGGGTATTAAAAAAAAAATTACATAATTTTTCATGTTTTTTTTAATTGAATCTGAATGATGGCTTGTTAAAGTATAAGAAAAATATGTTTTACTTTACTGCAACAGTTAAGTTCTTTAAAACATACAAAAAAACGTTGAAGGAAGAACGCATACACTCTCTGCTTCTTGAAGATGATTCTCCCACTCAAAATGTATCCTTCTTCTTGAGTAATACCAATAGTAGAATATTAAAGGGGCGTGTCCAGAGGGATTCAAATCAGAGTAAAAGGAGGGACATTCAAACAGGACACACACACACTTTAAAAAAAACTTTAAACAATAAAAATGAATTAATAACAAACATTTAAATTTGGTGAGGAATATTAGCAAAAGGGTTATACAACAGTGACAAAAATATAGAATTTGTTTGTATTTCTTTGATTTCTTTTTTTTACATCTGTTACAGAAGTTGAGCAAACATGATTTGGGACACAGCAATTTGGCCTACTTGTGCTAAAATCAGAGTAATTATTTAGAATTTTGAATATCCTGGGTAAATATAAATAACACTGTTGTTTTATGGTAGAGGGGTATAAACATTTAAAACCAAGCTTTTAAAAAATAAGCATTAGACATTTTAAATACAAAATATATGATATAATGTGGTGGGGACCTAAATGGCACCAAATGCTAGGAATGACTGATACATTTGACTGTATTTTGTCTTGGGATAATTTGATTCTCAAAAGATTTTTAATTTATAGTTTGCAAGCCAAGATTTGTGTTTGAGGTTTAGTTATTATGGTGGTCTGTTTTTATACAATGCTTAGAACACAACATTTACTCACATGCTTATTATTGGCAGATTGTTGCCAATACCCTGCCATAGTTTCAACATAACAATGCACAGTTGTCTTGGTTTGGTGTTGAAGAAAGGCTTGCACAGAGCCTTGACTTCAACCCCATCCAACTCCTTTGGGATGGATCCAAACGCTGACTTTGAGCCTGGCCTCATTACCCACCATCAGTGGCCGACCTCGCTGGTGACCTTGGGGCTGAACGGGATTCTCCCCAACTTTTTTTAGGAAGCTTTCCCAGAAGGGTAGAGGCTGATGCAGCATATTAATGCCCCACTGTTTTTGGAACGAGATGTTATGTTTAGGTTTCCACATCTATCTGGATCAGAAGTTTTCAAACTGTGAGGTGTGTGAAATAAGGAAGGAAGGAAGAATAGGGCTGCAGTCTGTTTAAAAAAGGTATTCCTTCGTCCTAGAGTTGATCAAACAAGCAACTCAGCACATACTTAGATTCAATGTGACGAGCACTTTCTGAAAATATCATTGTTACCGACAAATCCTTATCACTCTAGAAATGGTCGGAGAAAAATTACATCTTTAAGTTTTCTTCAGAGTGAACGTAAACTAGTAATAGTTGTCCATACATCCAAAAGCTAACAGCTAATTTGAACAATATCAATAGTACCAATTTTTCATTCTAACTTGATGCATGTGTGAATAAAACCCACAGAACGTCAAACATAAAGGATATATAAATATATACATCATACCTAACAAATTGTTTATTGATTTGTGTCTCTTTTATAGGAACAATTAATTTACAACATCCATTACAAAGGTTTATCTGAAACAAGCTCAAATACCATAATGAACTTAATCCGTCAATTATTATTATTGTTATTATTGTAATTTAAATAAAATGTTATACACGGAAAATCAAATACAGTGAAACCAAATAACAGGTTTGAAGGGATTTATGTGGAGGAAAGTCCAGTGACAGGTGATTAAACTGCACGCACGCCAGAAGTAAAGGACGTTGTTTATGGTGAAGCTGGAGTGAACAAGGACATACCAACTCATACCTGAGGACTCCTCTGTCCTCGCGTCTCTTCCTCGTGTCTTAGCTCCGCCTCCGTAAGACGCGAGTGAGGGAAAGGAGGAGGCAAAATTATCATTTGGGATGAACCTTGAATTGTTGGTCAAGACATTTTGAGGTTATATCAACTAAAATGTACACCAAACATGTTGTAGTATCGCGTGACAGACACACCACTGTTTTAACTTTTACTTTCACATTTGCCTTTACAGATAACATTTCTAAAGAGAAAATTCATATTTTCATAGTTAAAACTGCATCAGTACTTTAAGCCTGACCTTGGTTTTGGTTGCGTGGTATGCGTGAGGCCGGAGAAGATTGATGATATAATTATTTGCATTAGCAATCAGGATGTTAATGATCATGGAAAGTCATTAGACGTGATGAAGCAGCAGTTAGTAATGGAAATGTATAAAGTGTGGACACATTCAGAGACAGAAGATTGTCATCACAACATTTCCAGCAGGGCCTGATCGGTAAATGCATTTCATTATGCATGGACCTAACACAGCATGTGACAAGGCTTTTCACAAATGTTAATCTTTTTGGAATTACTTGAGACATGATGTAGTGCACATATGCAAAACACTGGCACAGCAGTCTTCACTTCACACATGTATTCAGTTTAACCTGTTCTAAATCTGAGTTCATTTGAGGGAAAGACATTATTGTGCTGCCTCTCGAGAAATCTGAACCAAACATGGAGTTCCTCTCGGAAATGTACGTCTAAAAGTGAAAGTAGACATTAATTGTCCATCAAAGTTAAAGTTGCTAGAGTTTGGAAATAATCCTCAGAACGTCGGCTTGCACATGTTCCCAGAATATCTGCGTATCAGCAGAGCAGTTTCTGAGAAGTGCCACCTCCCTGATGCTATCTGCGGGCTCCAAATCAGCTTTACTACAGTCGAGGCAGGAGACTTTCCTGATGGATTAAGGTGTAACAGACAAATCCTCCCTATAAGGGTCTGTCATTCTGCTCATCACCTAATTTCCTATTTTCCAGCACACTGCGAGACAGGGCTGTTTAAGCTATTATTCCCAGGAATCCATGTAT